GAATGCTCATTCCTTTGGATGCTGTTTGTGCCGCTCCCGTGAACAGGGGATTGTTCTGTGTTTACCCTTCGCCGTCCGAACGCAAGCGAGGTGTTTGGAGGGAATCCTCAGCGTTCAGATGTTGTAGTTCCTGGCATTTTTATGAGTTAGCCACTGGGAGATTGGAGCGCTTTGATATTTATTTGGCTTTTCTCTAGAATCCTACCTAGACTACAGGGGGGGAAATAAGGATGCTGCCAAAATAGATGAATTGACTCAAGTGATCTCTGAGAAGAATGCAAGTAGAGAATATGAATTGAAAAACAAAACTCCTGCACTGTAAACAATCTGTAAGACAAAGAGAAAATGGGGAAATGAAGGAGATCAGGAACTTTCTGAAGATGGGGGTTGTGTTTTATCACTGTGTTAATGTATTTGGTCACTTTTTATAATCTGATGTTCTGACAAGTGTGCAGGGCGTTCAAATTGCTCTTCTTTTTCACAATCATGTAATTCTAAAGTCTTTTATAATTGGTATAATCTGATGTTCTGACAAGTGTGCAGGGCATTCAAATTTCTCTTCTTTTTCACAATCATGTAATTTAAAGTCTTTTATAATTGGCAACTGCATTTTGGAATTTCAACCTCATGACTATCACAGAGTCCCAGAAAGCTTATATGTCTTTTTAAGAAGAAATGTGCTTTTTCAGTTTGGGGAAGACTGTAGTTGTGTTGGCGAGAGCTCAATAGTCTGGAGGGAGGTGATTCTGCCGCTCTGCTCTGCTCTGGTGAGAGCCCACCTGGAGTACTGTGTCCAGTTCTGGAGTCCTCAACACAAGAAAGACATGGAGCTGTTGGAGTGGGTCCAGAGGAGGCCACAAACACAATCAGGGGGTTGGAACACCTGTCCTATGAAGAAAGGCTGAGAGAGTTGGGGCTGTTCAGCCTGGAGAAGAGAAGGCTCTGGGAAGACCTTATTGCAGGGGAGATTTCGATGAGATTTAAGGAAGAAATGTTTTACACGAAGGGTGGTGAGGCACTGGAACAGGTTGCCCAGAGAAGTTGTAGATGCCCCATCCCTGGAAGTGTTAAAGGCCAGGTTGGATGAGGCTTTGGGCAACCCGGTGTAGTGGAGGGTGTCCCTGCCCATGGCAGCAGGGTTGGAACGAGATGATTTTTGAGGTCCCTTCCAACCCAAACCATTCTATGACTGGTCTGTGGATGAGAGTCCTCTGAAACGAAACGGCAGGGCGTACGTTTTTCCCTTCTTCTGTCATTTGACATGTTCTGTATCCCCGAGTGTACCTTCCGGCTGCAGCGGGAGAGGGTTGGCAGCATGCTTTAGCTTTCAAGAGACGTTGTTGTTGAGTCAGTTTGTTGGGTTTTTCTATTTCCACGTGCACATCTCTCGGTGCGAATTCTTTTTTGCACATAGAATCTTTAAAATTGTTGTCATTCAAACCAAGCAAACAAACAAAACCAACAAACCAAACCAACCAACCCAAAAACAACATGTCAAAACATTTTGGGACATCCTATGATAGGATGCTGTTTCTAAGTTAGTCCAGGAGAGTCTTCCTGTTTACCTGTTTGAATATTCATCTGGTTTAGTATGAGTGCACACAGAACTCAGGTGGCCCCTGATCTTTTAATTTCCTCCTTTCAGTGGTCTCGTATAGTGTTTTTTCTTTTAATCCAATCTAATTGGAACAAATAATAACAAAGTTAGATTTATTAGCTCATGATAAGAAATGACTGGACACTTAAATATTTATTTGAAGTTTTCTGGCTTGTAACAATATTTTTGTTTTGATTTCAGAATGCTCTCTTTAGTTGTATTAACAGAAATGAAAGTAAGTATATAATGAATGGTTTGTCTTTTTTTGGTTTTCTTTTATATTGTTCTATCCTTTTTTCTCTAAAATGTAAGAAATTCCATGGGTTTACATATGCACAAATCGTATGGATTCAGTTCCGTAGAAGGACAAACCACATGCCTAAGTTGACTTGCTCAACTGATGAGGGGATTGGGCTGTTCACATACTTCATAACTGTTTTTAATTTGTGTAGCTGTGTTTATCTGTCCTGGTTTGATGATTGCTTGCTTAGAAGCTCGTTTTTTCCCTTCTGCTTTGTTCATTTGATAAGTGTTAAGTAACAAAATTAAATGCATGGCTGAAGTCTTGCCTCGTGCAAGTGTTTTGTTGCCTGATGCCTGTCTATGTAAAATGAAAAGAAATCGGTGTCTCAGATTGATTCTAGTAATTGTATTTCTCAAGAACTGTGTATTTAATAACATATAAAAATGAGTGAATCGTGATACCATCTGTCTGTATTTTTCTAATGAGTTTTAGGATACTGCTCTCATATTTACAAGTTTATTATTAATATTTGTCTAATAATTCAATTATAGGACAAATCTGATTACCTTAAATAAGAACAAAACAGCTGAAGATAAAATTCAGCTGACTTGCTGATGTCTTGAACTTGAGTTCAAGACGTCTTTAGGGACTTTTTTCTCCAGCCAAACATACGTAATTTGGCTAGTTATAGATATTCCCAGTCATTCTGTGGACAGAGATTATTTTAATTGAGCATGGAAGAATCTCTTGATTTTGTTTCCACGGTAGTACCTCGAGTATCGTTTCCCATCGATTTTCTGTTGTTTGTTTGTTTCCCCAGTGGGGTCAGTCTGTTGCAGTTACGCGGGTCATCATACAAACTGTCGGGAATATTGTCAAGCAATTTTTCGGACAGACTCTTCTCCTGGTCCTTCACAAATCAAAGCAGTTGAAAATTACTGTGCATCTATTAGCCCTCAGCTCATACACTGTGTGAACAACTACACACAGTCATATCCAATGAGAAATCCTACGGATAGTAAGTATTAAAAAAAATCCTCCTTTACTGAGAGTTATAAAAAATACTGAAAATGTTTGAGGATTGTATGTACTTTTTATATAAAGTGTGTTATTGTATAAGTCTGTTATATAAATTCTATTAATGAATTTCTGTATTACAGTTTTAATTATATGCATTTTTATAAAGATAACTTCTGTTTGTAGGTGCCTTATTGGTTGTTTCTTTTTAATTTTTTTTTTAATTCTACATATTGGTACTTTGTTTTTTTCCAGAGTTGATTGTGTTGGCATTTAGAAGCAGCAATGTTATTTGGGATCATTTGGGGAGTGGGGAAAGCCGCCTCATAGCACTTTTTCCCTGAGGCCTGTCATGCATCTCAGTGGGTGTCGTGTGCTCGATCATTAACTCTTTTCAATTTTTTTAACAGGTTTGTATTGCTGTGATCGAGCAGAAGACTATGCGTGTCAGACTGCTTGTAAAAGAATCCTAATGTCAATGAAAACAGAGCTTGAAATTGTTGATGGGCTCATAGAAGGCTGTAAAACCATGCCTCTCCCTCAGGATCCACTTTGGCAATGTTTTCTGGAGAGTTCAAGATCTGTTCACCCCGGCGTCACCGTGCACCCTCCGCCTTCAACGGGCCTCGATGGAGCGAAGCTCCATTGCTGTTCCAAAGCAAATTCTTCCACTTGTAGGTCAGTACCCTTCTGCCCTCGTCTCCAAGTGTGAAAATGCTTCAGCAGTTGTCTCGTGTCAGGCCTTTCCTCAAATCTTGCTGTGTACATCAAATAAAGACTTCTGTGAATTCTTAGGAAAAAATACAGGTTTAGGTAATGGGATGGGTGTTGTATTCTGTCTGATACTTGCTTTATCTCAAAAAATACTGTTCCATGAGAGGAATTGTGATTTTCTCGCTTTTAACACTGGTTTATTATAGCAGGCACTAAGTTAATGAAACCTGGACCTTGCTCGTGGTCGTAATAGCCCATATTGCCACAAGATCATCGAGATCTTGAGAGCCAAGGGGACGGTGAACTGCACAGACTCTCAAGTACCTGGTTGCTGTGTGTCAAAACCTTAGCAGTATTCCTTACAAGATGCTATTCAGGTTTTTGTCAACGGAAAATAACTTGGGTTATTTAATAATTCCATAATGGAGCTAACTATTCTGATTTAAAAAAAAAAAAAAGTGGTTTTCAGCAAATAGTTGCACACTTGCAAATAGCTGTAATTGGAGCATCTTTATTTTAGAGTGGTTATCTCTCCACTTCAAAAATAGATCTTCACTGCATTTTAAATGCATCAGTATGTCAAAATGAGCCGCAAACACTGATTTTTGAGCTATTACTTCTTTTCACATCAAAGTTTGCAGTAACAAAACGACAGATGCTGAATGCAGCAGGATCTTACGATGAGTTCAGTAGAGCCCTGGAGTTGAGTTATTTCTTAGAACATTGTAGCATAGGGCAGCTGATAAAGCAAGCAACTAAAAGATGCCGTAACAACGGGTTCTAAAAACGGGTCTTTCCCTCAGGTTTTCAGTGACTTCAGTAGTACAGTGAAGTTCCATACTTTTGGGATGGGATGGGAAGAGCTGTAGTTTGTAGGATAATGCTGTGAACAAGGTGTCTCGGGCATTGCTGACACCAGGAAACATCTCAGGCACGCGCGGCGAAGTGTACTCCTGTTTCCAACGTCAGGGCAAAAGAAGAAATTAGTTTTATGTGCCAGCCATTTCTGTAGGAGAAGGAAGTGGGATGTGAAGTTGAAGGATGGGAGTAGAAGTTGTTCATCATCGTGTCAGCCCAGATTTATTACAAGTACTACAAATACTTGAGAAGGGATGGTGGGGAGGTGGGGGAAGGACTCTTTACATTAGTGTTGGGTGATAAAACAAGAGGAAATGGGCGTAAGCTTAGTCAGGGGGGATTCAGGTTGGATGTTAGGAAGTATTTCTTCTCTGAAAGGGTTGTCAGCCACTGGAATAGGCTGCCCAGGGAGGTGGTTGAGTCCCCATCCCTGGATGTGTTTAAGAATAGGGTGGATGATCTACTTGGGGATATGGTTTAATGGGGATTAGGGACGGTTGGACTCGATGATCTCTAAGGTCTTTTCCAGCCTAGGAATCTATGAAAAGTAGGATTCGCTGGGGTAGTTCTCAACTCAAGGTCGTTAGTTCAGGCTTCCAGCTATTGCGTTTTTATCGGATATTGCAGCTTTAGATACTGAACTCTTTCAGTCTGACTAGCTTAAAGGCTTGCTGGCATTCTTAAGGAAAACTGAAAACTCGGAAAACAGTGAAGTGGGGTTATTTACTTTGAGCACCACATTTGGATAGTCTTGCAGGCCCTGTAGACGTTAACACAACCTTCTACGCTGAGTGGAGTTTATCAGCAAACAAATGACAAGCTCTGCTGTATCAACGAACACTGTTCTTTGTTTTCTTCATCTGTTTGTTGGTTTGTTTTTTTTTTTCAGAGAGCTCTGCACTAAACTTTATAGCACGAGCTGGGGCAATTCACAGAGCTGGCAAGAATTTGATCGCTTTTGTGAGTATAATGCAGTTGAAGTTTCCATGTTGACCTGTTTAGCAGATGTACGAGAACCTTGTCAGCTGGGCTGTAGAAATCTATCTTACTGCACTAATTTTAATAACAGGTAGGAGAGAGACACTGAATATTTTATAAAGGAATTCCTGTGCTTTGATTTAAAAAATAAAATTATTTTCCAGCTTATTTTAAGATTGTATGTAGCTGTCTTTCTGCAAATAGTTTTTTTTTTAGATAATTTAAAAATAAATAGTTTTTCGTTAGAATAAACCTTTGGAAATGTATTTAACAACAGACATAACAAAACTTACAAGAATTAAAGCTAGCTCATGAACTTGTAAAATGTCATCACGTAATAGCAATGTATTCCTCTATTTTACTGTATAAACAAGTAAGCCATGGTTACTGGAATGTTGTGTATTATAAACAAGGTAAAAATTCTTGTTAAACTTACATGTTGCTCTTTTTTAAAATTCCTTTTCTTTCAGAGGTAATTCCGTGGGTTTATACTCTAAATATTCATGATTTAAAAGTGGTGTCTGAATTAGTAATTGTAAGGCTACAAATTAAATAGTTTGAGTTTGAAAAAACCTTTAAATTTTTTTTTGGCTATCGGAGATCTCTGGCCTTTCTTTGAAATAGTGTACAGTGGCATGAGTGTTGTATGAGTGGCAGAATCACATATGTTAGAGGTGCAGCCTGGGCAAATACAAATGATAAATCAGCTTACATTAGTGATTGATGAGGAAACATTTGCACAGATATTCAGATAAGATACTTGCTTTTAAGTCAGCTTTCTTCAGGTAAGAAAAATTTAAGTGGTATTTGATCTAAGAGGTAAAGGTGAGAAGGGAGTTTCAGTCTGGAGTCTTAAAGAGCTTATTTTCCTTAAAGACAGAATTCAAATTGATTTTGATCTCGCTTAACTGTGGAAAGGATTCATTTCTTGTATACCACAAAAAGCAAGCCATATCAAGGTTGTAGAATTCATCTAGCGAAAGGTAAAATGTGTGGCGTTTTCTTTTTCTTGTATACATGCCATACCCTAACTTTTTCTTTTAAGACCAACAGAACTTTTCAGGAGCTGCAATACTCAGTCAGACCAGGGAGCCATGAATGACATGAAGCTCTGGGAGAAAGGGAGTATTAAGATGCCGTTTATAAATATTCCTGTGCTCGATATTAAAAAATGCCAACCAGAAATGTGGAAGGCAATTGCCTGCTCACTGCAGATTAAACCTTGCCACAGCAAATCTAGAGGAAGTATTATCTGCAAGTAAGTACTGTGAGGGGGGAAAAAACAATTTAGAGGTTCTGCTAAGGATTTTAATGAGAACTAAAAAGCTCCTGTAGGACTCTGTTTGACCTACGTTGGGAAAACACGGCAAGACAAACGTGGAAGAAATACGATCTTGCGTAGTTGCCGTTGCTTGATCTGCGCCACTGTGAATGGAAGATGCTTGCCTGTTAATGAGATGGATGTACATGCTTCCGTTGTAAAGTTGATGATTGTTGGAGTTTTTTTGGCTCTCTGAGCCGTCTGTAAAACCTTCCCTCTTCTACTGGTGATTTTCAGCTGAGCAGAAAGGTCAGGGAAAAAAAAGAATTTTATTTAAAAAAAAAAAAAAATTTTGAAAGTAGGTGATTGGGTAGAAAAGAGACCAGTTAATAGTACAGGTACTGAGATAGAGTTCAAGCCATATTAGACATCGGTAAATCGAGGAGATGCTTTGTCTTGAGATGTACTTGCATACAATGCCATGGGAAATAAAGATCACCAAGCCTGAAGTAGACGAAGAGTAGTGTAAGCAATAGTTCCTGTCTTTGTGTCACAACTTGGTTCCTCCCCCGTATGTAAAATGTAGCACATACATATATAAAAACACATATATAAAAACACTGTTGTGAGACAGAGGGGAAGGTTGTGGATTCAGGGAAGGGAAGAATGTGGAAAGAAATCTTTTTGATATGAGACCTTTTTTCTTCAAGTAGTGTTCATGAAGTTCTGTTTCTTTTATTTATCTGAAGATCAGATTGTGTGGAAATACTGAAGAAATGTGGAGATCATAATAAATTCCCTGAAGGCCACTCAGCTGAAAGTATTTGTGAGCTCTTATCTCCAACAGATGACTTGGAGAACTGTATCCCTTTGGATACATACCTGAGTAAGTATCAACATACCTGTGCAACAAAATTAGAAACCAGGATAGTTTGAAGACTTAGGATTGCTTTTAATAACTTTCGTTATTTGTTTTAAAGAAAATTATATTGAATTTGAGACATTTTATTTAGCGTATTAGAGAAAATTGGGGTTTTCAAATTGTCGTAGCCCATTATGTTTACTCCTCTTGTACTGGGTGTATATGGCCAGGTGGTTTTGGTGGCAGTGGAGGCTGCAGGGGCTGTAGGGGAAGATGTCAGAGACCGCACTGTGCCAGGCACAGCCAGCTCAGCAATGGCCAAAGCTGAGCCACTTAGCAAAGTTTGTGGTGCCTCTGGGAAAATGAGTGTAAGAAAGGGCAAAAAGTGCCGGACAGGTGGAGGAGAAGGGAACAGGAAGAGTGAGAAAACACAGAGGTAGCACCAAGGTCGGAGGAAAGGAGGTGCTTCCCGGCAAGGCAGCCCGTGGAGGACCCTGTGCCAATGAGTGGGTATGCCCTGGAGGAACCTGCAGCCCGTGGAGAGCCCACGCTGGAGTGGAGGCAAAGTGTGACAAGGAATGAGCGGCAGAGAGAAACTGCTGGGTACTGACCATAATCACCATCATCCCCCCTTCCTGGTCCCCACTGCATCGCCTGGGGCAGGGGCGGAGAAATCTGGAGTGAAGGGGAGCCTGGGAAAGGGAGGAAGACAGGCATTGCTTTAATGTTTCTCTTTTTGTTTCCATTATCTGAATCTGTAATTAGATATTTAATAATATTTATAACATTAATATTAATAAGTGTAATTAGATACCAGCAGGTTGCCCAGAGAAGCTGTGGCTGCCCCATCCCTGGAAGTGTTCAAGGCCAGGTTGGATTGGGCTTTAAGCAGTAGTGGAGGGTGTCCCTGCCCATGGCAGGGGGGTTGGAACTGGATGGTCTTTGAGGTCCCTTCCAACCCAAACCATTCTACGATTTATGATTCTATGATTTATTTTAACTGGCAATAAATTTAGTTAATTTTCCCCAAGTCAGTTTTGCCCACGATGGTAAATCTTGCACATATCTCCCTATCTTTATCTCAACGTGAGCTTTTCTGTTCCTGTTCTACCTATTTTCTACCCCCATCCTGTTTGGGATGGGGGGACTGGGTGGGAGTTTGGCTGTTAGCCAAGGCTAGCCCACCACACTTCTCCTGTGGAGACGTCATGTATTGAGTGCTATTACACTGGTCTATATCATCGAGTAATCTGGCTTGTTGAACTTCAGTGGTTATTACCTACTTGAAAATAGACTAGTTAACCTCACTTTGAGAAAACTGTTCTTCAAGAACTCATCTCACATGCCAAAAAAAGTACTATGATAATAAACCCACTAACACTAGTTACAGGACAAAACCTGGATTGTGCTTGGGAGGACTCATCTGAAATATATGTCACTTAAACAATAGCCTTATTTAGAGCACAACCTCTTGATCTACAAAGTTACATTTTTGCCTGATGCATAAACTCCGTTCTTTAACTGTGCAGTTAGAATAACCAAAACCAAAATTAACTCTTGGGGCAACAGAACATGAGTTTAGTAGGTATATGGAAGAAGGAAGTTTTTGTGATTCTCTTTTCTTCTACCATGTCTTATCGCTAAGCGTGGAACACTTTGAAAGAGTAAGATTTTGAGTAGTAAGAGCTGCAACTGAAAGCATGCCTCAACGAAGAAATTGTTCCCAAAGAGACAATGTACTGAAGCTTGGGGTGGTTCTTTCTGTTTCGCTGCTGATTTTCCATGTTGCCATCCCTTTCCTTACTCTTATAACAGGACAACATGACTAGGGAGTTAAAGAGAAAACAGAAACAAAAGTTTATCAATGATAGCAAACTTGGTGAAACATCGAGTGTACGTTAAACCTCCAGTGTGTTAATCATGGGACTTCTCGTGTTTAAGCTGCCGGTCGTTGTCAGTTTGTATTTTTGTCATATCGTGAAAACTATTGAGGAATTAAGACAGAGGAAATATATTTTGCTTGTGAATAATCATCTTGGTCGTTATTTCCAGGATTGAGGACTAAACTTTTGAAATAAGTTAACTCCCTTGTCATGTCAAGCTTTTAAAAAAAGTAAAAAATATTTCACAGAATTGTCAAAAATATGATTTGACTGAATGTAAGAAATGCCATGCTTTACTGAAGAAAAGTAAACATCATTTAAATCAATACAGGTGCTTTATATTCTGTTTTCAGGCCCAAGTTCTTTAGGTAACATTGTAGAAGATGTTACACATCCATGTAATCCGAATCCATGTGCAGCTAATCAGTTATGTGAAGTAAATAGAAAAGGATGTCAAGCTGGAGAGCTGTGTCTCCCATATTTGTGTGTGCCAGGTAAGAGTTTTTGGACTTGTGTTTCCCTGAATTTCGCTGATAAACGCATGTTTCTGACATTTTATTGACAGTTTTGAAGTGAATCGTTGCTGTCCCTAAAGAACTATTATCAAAATTACCTTGTGTTTTCCAAAGCTGTGGCCTGCCTTCTAGCTCTTCTCGTGTCTCACTGTGTTTCTGTTTGTATTGTCCCCTGAAACGTAGTGTCTTGTTGCCCAGAGAAGCTGTAGATGCCTCATCCCTGGAAGTGTTCAAGGCCAGGTTGGATGAGGCTTTGGGCAACCTGGTGTAGTGGAGGGTGTCCCTGCCCGTGGCAGCAGGGTTGGAACGAGATGATCTTTGAGGTCCCTTCCAACCCGAACCATTCTGTGATTCTATGAAGATCTATTACCAAGGGGTAGTAGATTTTTGCTTCAGAAGAAACACGTGTCCACACTTGGTCTCTAAGCAGCCTGCCTGCTATTTAAAATTGCAAACGTGCAGTGCTGCAACTGCAGTGCAGCTCCCTGCTTCCGCAGACAACGTGACATGGATTGCCCTGTTCTTCCATATGTTCTTAGCCATATCCACACTATTTTCCTTACTGATGAAATAAACGGACATTATGTCTTGCCTTGAAATTAATGAAAATCAGGCTGTCGGTCTTGGGAGCATGTTTGAGAGCTCTGAGAACCTGATGGAATGCAGGATGCCCTGGGATGCACGTCTCCATTGGCAGCAATTCCGGTGTTATATTAAAGTTCAAGATGATATCTTACATGGAATTGTCCAAAATCCTTTTTCATAGGCCAGGTCAGCTTCTCAAAACCTCATGGACCAGCAGCTCATGGATAACTAGTTCTGGTCCGAGCAAATTAATACCCAAAGTCTTTTTTTTTTTTTTTTTTTTTTTTAAGAGCTTTGCTGTTGCTGCTTCACTGGATTGAGAGTGCCCAGGTGTGGGGCTTGGGAAGGGAGCAACATGGCACATAATTTGGTTGTCTCTCCTTTCTTCTCTCTACTGCTTGAGCTTGCAGCACTGACGCAGCATCTCTGCTCTTCAACTTTCATGACTGACAGCCCTACCAGTGCATTGACTGGAGAAAAAGAAAAAGCCAGAACCACGAGGCAGATTAGATCTGAGTCTCTCCTAAATCTGTACGTAGACTTGTAGTTTAGAGGAAAAAGACACTGACTTTGGGGAACAACGGAAGTGTGAATGACGGACGCTGTGCTGCTTTGTCCTTCCCACGAGACCCACGGTACCGCTTCTCATTCACGTTGATGTCTGGAGATGCAGAGGTACACAGCTGGCTGCGTTTCTGCTCCATTGAGTGATACTTTTAACGTAGGTGCACCTCACTAGAAAGGCATTCCTGGTCTTTTGGGAACTGCTTTTTTAGAACACAGATGTTGTCTAACTTCTGTACCGTGCGTAAATATGAGCTGAGTGGGGAGAGAGCCTCATGTAGAATGAGTTTCAGCTGTCTTAACTTTGAAATGGCAGTCTTGGTGTTGCTAACAAGGGTCGAGTCTACAAAAGGAGGTGGGAGACTGTACAATTGTCCAACTTCTACAGCCCCTTCATTGTTCTACCTTAGTTAGCAGTAGTGCTTGCCACAGTTTTTCTCCTGCCCTTAAAGCAAAAGATACCATTCAGTGATGTGAGGGATCACCTAAGGTTCCTGAAGCAAAGAGGAAGGCTTGCGTTTGGTGACCACTTGAACACGTGTTGAGGGAGACTGAGTGAGTGAGAGCCACACTGATTTTTAAACTGAATTCCATGAAGCAGCTTCCTCTGTAGTGGAAGTTCTAGAGAACATTGCTGTAACTGTCTCGCATCAGTGCCCTGAGCCTCTTGTTCCAGCAGTTCTGTGGTTCATCAGCAGTTTCTCCAGGGATTTTTGATTAAAGAGAGGAAAACTGGGTTTTGCTTCACTTGTACATCTGCTACACTTGTGCTCTCCTAAAAGTGAGGAGAGACTTCAGCTCATTCCTTCTGTGAGCCTAGGGATGTTATTTTGGTTATGTTTCTGTGAACCTTTCAAAATATTGTTGTTTTTCTGAAAAGCTGAGCATTATTACTATAGGGGTTGTATTGTCTTCACTTGCTGCAAAAGTCATTCAAAGTGATCTGAAAACGAGCTCACCCAGAGCTTTTGAAGAGACAGTTTACTTCCTCTGAAGGTTGAAAGATGACTTTTATGTTTGAATTCAGTCTTTTTATTGGTTGAAAGTTTTGGAGGATTTGCAGTTCTTCACTTCTAGGGTAGTTTTAATCTACTATTTTTTTTTATTACTGTTTCCTCGCAATTTTTAAAACCATTTTTCTTCTTTTCCATTCTTTTTTTTTTTAAATCCAGTTTTCCTGCTTTTTGTTTTGTTCTTCTCTCTTCATGTCTACCTCTGAGTCATTCAGTGTTCACATAAAAGGGACAAGTCGGGAAGGAAGACACAATAAAATATGTGAGAGAGGGGAAATGACTGGGCTTTGCTTGTGAGACCCTTTAATTCAGCTTGTGTATTGGAGAGGGCGAAGCATGTTGTTACATTACATACGTTTCATGCTGCTACAGAACTGTGGAAAATCAGATTACTTGAGAATTGTTGGAATTACCAGTCTCTTTCTCTAAAGTGACATTTCTACAGGTTCTTCAGAACATTGTCTCAAGGAAATATCTCCTCTTTTTGCCGCTTGCTGCCTCTTTGAAATGAGTGAATTTGTCTAAAGGGTGAGAGCAAGGCTGCTTTAGGAACACCTTCACTTTTTCACAAGTCAAAGAGGAGAGTAGTTATTTTTGGTAGTGGCACTTGCCAAAGTAGTCACTAAACATGAGCCAAAATTTCTCCTTGTATATATAGGTTGCAAACTGGGAGAAGCCTCAGACTTTATTGTCCGTCAAGGCACGCTTATTCAGGTTCCATCCTCAGCTGGTGATGTTGGTTGTTACAAGATTTGTACCTGTGGACACAGTGGATTGCTAGAAAACTGCATGGAAATGCGTTGTGTTGACCACCAAAAGTCATGCATTGTTGGAGGACAAAGAAAAAGTAAGTGTTAGAACAGTGATTACATCTTCATACAGCCCCTGGTCCTTAAGTGATGAGTTTCGAGGTACGTATGAAGACCCAGAGGACCTGAATACAGAGTTTATCAGAAAATACAAAAGTTAATTTTTGCGTCTCTCTATAAAATACTCATTTAACTCTCATATATACTGGAGGGTTCCATTATTTCTTTTAAATCAGTTCTGGACAGTGTCTGTCTCAACCAATGAAGTCCTGTGTGAAGCGTGGTCTTAGTCCACCGTTTTCCAACCAAAAGGCCACTGACTTGCCTCACGTCCCCTGTGGTTTTATGGTACTTGATAATCGGTAGCACGTCAAAGGTACCTAGTAAGTCCAAAATAACTGAGTCACTTTTTTTTGCTGTGTAATAAGAAAGAGTTTTTTTCACAGTAAGTGAATCGTAAGAAGCAAAGCACTCATTGTAGTTACGTTCGTCACAAACATAATTTTCTGACTGTGAACCAAACCCTGAAATCATGGACAAAGAGGTAATTAGGATATTTCTTTCTCTTAAAAGACACTAAGCAGATCTAAATAATCAATTGTACAGTTGTTTTCGTTGTGCAGGAAAGTCTGCCTGTAACGTTCCATCCATGCATTTACAGCTAGTAATGTGGTCTGTTTTTTTTGTTCATCCAAAGGGATAAAAGTCAACCAAACATATTTAAAACTTAGTTTCTGTTGCCAAATTGGTACTATTTGTTCATGGAAGCAAAGCACTGAAAACATCATAACCCTAATGATAGGAGGACAAAGAAAAAAGATGGGCAGTTATAGGAAGTATCTGGTGAAAGTAGGTGCTTTTAAAATACAGTCATTAGCAAATACATTATTTAAATAGCAAAAGAAACCTTTTATGGACCATTCTGACCAAAGAAACTTGCACTTTTTCAGATTATTGGTGAAAATAATCACAAAAATGTCTGAAGTTGTGTTAGTGTTTTATGCTTGCACAGTGTACAGCTATCACTTGTGGTAAGGGTTAACAACAATATGTGTAGCTCGTAAGTATTTGGTATTCAGCCAGTGCTGACCATTTAAAAAAAAAAAAAAACCCCACACAACAAAACCAAAACCAAACAGCTTCCTTTCTTTTGCAATAATTGCTCATTAAGTGTGTGTGGTGATTAAGACTCTAGGTATTATATAATAAAAGATAAAAGTTACTGAATTCCAAATGCATTAGATGATATATTGAAAACAGATAATTAAAAATTTACAGTCGCCACGTGAACGTTTTGTAGTTGCTGTTGGTGTATGTATATATAAAATATAATTATATATTTTTGGGGTGTATGTCAGCTGCAAAAAGCTCGGGTTTAGTCATCAAACCTGAGCTGCGTTTTTTCAAACCATTCTCTACAAACCCAACATCCCTGAATGCTTTATCTGATGCTGGGGTTTTTGTGTTGTCAATTCACTCCAATTCCGAAATTACTACTGATGAAGAGGACGGTTTACTGTGTGCACTCTTTGATAGTGAAAGCCAATAGTCTTGCAAAGTTTTCAAGTATGTCCTAGATCAGTGACTCTTTACTTTGAAGAATCATCTGTTTGGCATTACCTTCAAGTCTTGGAAACTTTTCTTCTTCCCTGCTGACAAATTCTTTCTTCCTTGGGCAGTACCGTGGTTTCAACGGAGCTTTTTGTGCGGCAGAGGCTCTCTTCCATCCCCCCTGGTACTGCCATCCTTTGTCTAGGAACACCTCTTCCAAATTGCCCAAGTGCTGAGAGTTTTCCTTGTGCCCCTGTAGTATTTTTTAAAAATTCTAGTCCTTAATCTCAAGCCTTCCAAAAGAGATGAGAGAGAATTGCCTTATTTTGTACGGCACAGTTACTCTGCGCTTCCCTGAAGAGCTGTGTGTGTGTTGGTGGTCTTTCATAACCGACCTGGTTATGGATAGAAAACAGGAGCTGATTTTACATAAAACATACAACACAGGGAAGGGTTATCATATAGACAGTTCACAAAACCAAACTGGAATTGCTAAATTGAAGGAAAATTCTTGAAGTCTGGTGTTTGATTCTTAGATTCAGGTGTGAAAAGGTTACTGACTTACAAAAGGCAAAAACCAGGCAGATGGCTCCATCCTCAAAAAGCAGCTGTGACGGTGTCAGCTGCAGGATTAAGGGCTCCTTTCTGAAAGCCAGAGGGTGAGGACAGACCTCTGGATTCGTGTGTGGCTTGTGCTGAACCTACCTCTGGGTTTCTGCTCGGCTCTGCTACAGGCTGGCTCGTTCTCCGCGTTGGAGAAAGCCACGCTGTGGCTCGTACTGCTGGTGGGGCTGGAATTACAGTACAACAGATGTTGCAAACCAGTAAAGACTGGAATGAGGCATTGGCACATTACCTCTCGATAGAAAGTACACACAGAGGGAAAAAAATGAGCCCAACAGAGGAGTTTTGCATTCTGCGTGAGACTGTGGCAGAAAGTTTAGCAGTCTTACATAACATCAATTTAGGAGAAGAGTGTGTCTTTACAAAAGCTTTACCTTTAAAAATAGGGAGCTTGCTAGCCAGGATTTATAAAAGTACTACGTACTGTGCTACCACTTCTTCTGTTTTCTGAGTGTTATTTATTTTTGCAGCTTTAAATTGTTCTTAAAAAAAAAAATAAATAAACCCACAAGGTAACTTATACACACTTTGAAAGGATAAAGTGCTTGCTTCTTTGTTTAACTGATTCATAGAAAACACATGTGAAGAGACTTTTTCTTTAAATGAATAAAGCAAAACTTGAAATCTTAACAAAAGATAGGAATTTCCATGGGAAAAGAAAGTGAATAAAGAAATTACAGGAACAATTCATACTGAAAATGTAATATCTGTGTAATAGATATATAGTCTTCTGGTATATTTGCTTTGATTGTATGTATTTACTTAATTTCTTTTCTTTTAAGGTCACGGAACGTCGTTTAATATCGATTGTAATGTCTGTTCATGTTTTGCTGGAAACTTGATATGTTCTACGCGTCAGTGCCTCACTGAGCATAGTTCCGAAGATGAACGTCGGAAGTTCACAGGTAACTTTTCAAACTAGAGAAACTATTAACCTAATATTCTTAGAGCGAGGATTGACTTCTGAATTATTTCTACAGTATTAATGGAAAATACCTGATAATTTGTTATTAATATATTAACTATTTGTCTTTCTCATTTCAGAAAAATTCTCATTTCAGAAAAATTCTCATTTTCAGAAAAAACACGTACCTTTAAAAAACACAGAAAAATCAGTATTGAAAAATAAAACCTCATGAAATATGTAAAATAGGTAGAGACAGGGTATTGCCACTGAGGATGAGAGGTTAGGAATTTGGGGAAAAAATTGAGAATTAGCTAGGAGGCAGGGCACAAACTTCCCTTCCTACTACTTAAAAGTAGCATATGTGCTACAGCGTTGCTAAACTACAAGAGGGAGGAAGTGACTGAAGATAAGACACATCTTTGCGTTTGCTGGGAGGCAAAGATATCGTAGTGACTCTTTGTGTGACTTCTGTCATGGAAAATCCCTCGTTTTGTGTGTTCCTTTTCCAGGTTTACCATGTAACTGCGTAGATCAGTTCGTGCCAGTGTGTGGTCAAAACGGACGCACGTATCCAAGCGCATGTATAGCTCGTTGTGTTGGGCTCCAGGACAATCAATTCGAATTTGGATCATGTATTTCCAAGGATCCTTGCAACCCTAACCCTTGTAATAAAAATCAGAGGTAAAAGCAGAATATGTTTTTAAGCTTTTCTTTGGCATCACGTGCTTGTGAAGCAGATTCACTTTTTCTTTGTGTGTTTTGTATATTGTAGTAACATTCTACTTTTGGGATACTCCAATAAAAAAGAACCTGTTTGAAGTAGCTACTTTTTATTTATCATAGTAACAGACTGTAATAACTGCCAGTTCTTGGTTCAGTTTTTGTAGTGCTGCATCACTGAAATTCATTATGCTGATCTCAGTTTTAGCCATTAAAGAGAACTGACGTATAATTTCAAAAATAGGAGAATCAAATTTTGTTGAAATGGCATAAAGTGTCGTTTTACTACTTTGTTTCACACCGTCTTCTAGTAGTTAAAAAAAAAAACTACACCTGAATTCAAGACTTGGATTCAGTCTTGCTTATTTGGTCAATAATCCGTGCTTTTAGCTCTAAAATAGGATAATGTCAATTAACTCTGGAAGACTTGAGTTTCTCTTAATTAGATCGGTATCTTTTGAACACCACCACGCCTGTACAATCTCTTTTTTTCCCAATGTCAGAAAAGCCAAAATGTGAATGGACAAGCATCACGAAACAAAAATACGCTCTGTACTAGTGTCAGGAGAAAAGAAAATCTGACCTTTCTTACGGGAATCAGTCTGTGGCTCATAAATATTGGTCTCTGTCTTCAGTTTTGAAAGAAAGCCAACGTAAGAAGTTGTGTAATACTGTGCTTTCACAAAAATGATGATAGCAATTTGATTTTTTTTTTTTTCCTTTTTCTGCACTTTAAATGCCTGAGTGCAGAAAACTGCAGAGAAAACACTGCAGTTTTGTAGCCGTAATGGCCATGATGGCATTGCAAACTGGAATTTCAAAGCTGCTTTGTGGATATACGCTTTTTACCTTTTTTAATTCAGAAAGTATAGAGAGATTTTCACTTTTACAGAATAATCACTACGCTTAGAGTCTCACCTTGTCCTTTCAGTTCAGGACTGTACACAATACATTTTTCTGGCTCAGTTTGATAATGTGGCGTAATCTAAGCGTTCTCATTTTAAAACATCTTTGAAGTGCTTAGAGTCTGTTTAAGATCTTGCATTCCACTTGTGTTTAAATCTCAGAATTTCTGAGCCTTCCCTAATAAAGAAGGAAAATGGTGATGCATAGGCCAGCAGCACTCAGAGAGAATAAGGATATAAGAAGTCTGTAAGTATAAGGATATGATTTATAGAAGGAGGAGATTGTTAAAAAAGCCATTTAACTCTTTGTCAGTCTGTTCACCAAACTGTTGGCTGGCATTCCTCTAGCAGCGGGATGTCTTGCAGGGCATATGGCAAATGTTTTGTGGATTAGACCACGGAAGGTATGTATTTAATATAAAGGGGAAAGAATTTCTGCTCTTGACCACTCTTTTCTTCTTATCTGTGAAGGCTTGAGAGGGATGCCAAGCCAAAAAAGGCAATTGTGTTCATCTAGATTTTTCGGTTTCTTCCCGGTCATCCCCAAGATTGGATGTGATATAATACACTGAACCTACAGAGCTAGAATCCAATTAGATACTTATAATTGAAACCATATAATCTTGTGAGTCTGGTTTTCACTGTCTTCTCAAGGAAGGGTCAGGCAAGACCTCTGCAATGTAATCTTTTTCTCGTGCAGTTCACTGTTTTCATGTTTTCCTTAAATATACGTTTCAAAAAATGAAGCTTGGGAGTAGGTAAGAAGTTTATCCAAGCCTTTTTTGAAGATCCATTGACAAATACTTGGTAAAAGATTAATTTTAGTGGAAACTGTAGTTGTGTTCACACACTCTCACTAACCATGGTGTGAATCAGTTTCAGGTTTGCGATAAGACCTGAAATTGGCTATTCAGAATGGTTTGTTACCTGTTTGCTGCAGCTCTGCTGAAACATAGGGAGCTCTAAAGTGCTGGAAACAATTTCACGGAAAATATTTTCCTTGAATATTTTGAGACTTAAAAAAAAAAAAAAACCAGATCCTATGACATGATATGAAATTATTACTTTGTGCAGGTGCATACCAAAGAAACGAGTTTGCCTGACTAGTTTTGGAAAATTCAAATGTAGCCAGCATGAATGTGTGCCGAGGCAGTTAAATTGTGACCAGACACGGGATCCTGTTTGTGACACAGACAACGTGGAATACAGCAACTTGTGCACTTTGTACCAAAAAGGAAAAAGTTTAGCGTACCAAGGACCGTGCCAGGTAGGAAGTGGTTCTAGCAATAAATACAAAATCTTTGTTCCTTAATGTTCAACTTTGCAATATTCTGGGGTTTATAGCTTGCAAAATGTTTTCATTGAAAGTAATCCTTTAAAAAAAGTATTTTTCACTGGTATAAGAAATACCGTCACAAAATTATATTTGGAATTTTGTCAGGTGTTTCTTTGCTTTTGTCAACAGCTGTCTCAAAACCAATCCAAAGCTTTACTTATGCTTCCTTGGGGATAATACTCTGATATTTATATTAAGTCTTCCTATGTTTTTTCACTATTAAAGCTTGCACTGAGGTACATTTGCAGTTATCAGTTCAGTTCCTTGGTTAGTTAAGTGCTAGCTTTCACCAAGTTGGACTTGTTTGAAATAAAAATTAATGCCCAGTCATAGAAGTATGTAGCATTTTGTGTGGTTGTGCCCCAGGTTTGCCAAGTTCATTGTTCAGGATCTACTTACACCTGAGTTTTGCTGGAGACTAGGCAGTCTGTAATATTTTCTTTAGTTAGTCTGGATTGGATTGGTGGTCATATCAATCCCTCAGATGGATTAGGATTAGGTTTAGTTCTTCCATCCCACTATATTTTCTTTAGTTAGTCTGGATTGGATTGGTCATCATATCAATCCCTCAGATGGATTAGGACTAGGTTTAGTTCTTCCATCCCACTGCTCCCTGCAGTGTTGGTAGACAAAGCTATTTCTGTCGCTTTACAAGAAAAGTCTGGAGCTGCTCTTTTCACAGTTGCTGGCTTTAGGCTGTTCATCTCTAGGTGTTTCTCAAATGACGAAGATTAATTTGAGACCTTCTTTTTGTCTCGACTGATGGATGTTCGTAGAAGCACAGAACATTTTTTCAGGGTTTTTCTGTATTATAAATGCTGTTGCTCTTTTAACCCACTTTTAGTTTCTGCCTTTCTGTCTTTATACTGTCTCTTTCTTACCCTTTTTCAGCAACCTCGTTAAGTACAGATAATTCTTCTCATTGCCCATCAGATATCTCATGAGATACTCAGAGTGTACAGCCCTTGAACAGTAAGAATCAAAGCAATATTGCATGGCTCTTTGTTGTGTTTTTTTTTTTCTCCAGCAGTTATACATCTAGTTGTGTCCATCTTCACAAAGTCCTTGACACTGGTAGCTTTAAGTTTTCATTCTTCCTTTTATAGGGAAGACAACTGCAAGATATGAAACTCTTTGGAGTGCTCACATTTACTTGTCCTCTGCCTGTTTTGTTGTTAGCTTAGGTGTGTAACATAGAAACTGTAATTCTCTTGCTATTTTAGAGGACACACAGTGATCATATAGCTATGGTGACTTACCTGAGATATTAGTTAGCTTAATAAAATATGTAGAGCTCAGCAAGCAATTATGGAACGAGTCGTGTCATTTCTTAAGACTTTGGAGAAAAGCATTAGTCATACCTTGTCTGCAGAGTCAGCAATTCCATTCGCTTCTGTCCCTGTTCAGAAGCTGAAGTTTATTGGCATCTGACCTCTCAGCCATGTTGGACTAATACACTTGGCGAAGGCAGGACAGGAAGAAACTACGTTACAATTTTCTTGGATTTTTACATGTGTTTGAATCAAATGACACGCTAGATACGTTTTTGTAAGAGAAAATGGACACAATAAATGTATTTTTAGAAATGTAAAGGTTTCAACAGTAAATCTTGGTTTTGACAGAGAGGTCTAGTAATGGATTTTATTCTCCTGAAATAAATGTATACGCTTAGCTTCTCAAAGAAGGTGTTAGAAACGCACAGAATCACAGGATCACTTAGGTTGGAGGAGACCTTTAAGATCATCGAGTCCACCTGTGAACTGAACACTGCCCATTCCACCACTCAGCCGTGTCCCCAAGCGCCACATCTACACGTCCCTTCAGCACCTCCAGGGGTGGTGACTCCACATGCGCACACACTACAAATTATACAACAGCAGTTTTTATTAATAATTTGATTTTCTTAATAATGCTTTATTTTGATCTTTGAGGTCCCTTCCAACCCTAACCGTTCCATGATTCTGTTACCTAATGAAAATATAATGGTCTTCATTAATTTAATAGGTGAGTTAATTTAAACGACACAGTCGTTTTATTTAAGCATTAGCACAGAACAAAAATTGTTGTTTCCCAAAACATGTCTCACTGTACATTTCTCAGATTCCAACTTACATTTTTCCGTCACCTTCTGTAAGTGCTTATTCTTTGCAATTATTACCCATTCATACACTGGCTGCTCATTTACTCTAAACTTCCTAATTTTTGAATGTTCAACAATATTATCAGTGAATTCCCATGAATGTTGGTTTTCCCAGTGTTAAAACTACTCTGAAGCTTTGTCCGTAGCATGACTAAATCGATCTTTTGAAATTTGAATTTCTCTGTCTTTCAGCCGTTCTGCAAACCGGCGGAACCCGTTTGTGGACACAACGGGGAAACCTACAGCAGCGTCTGCGCCGCCTATTCCGACCGCGTGGCCGTTGACTCCACTGCCAGGCTGTGGGTGTCCTCTCGGACTACGGCTTCCACACGGAGTGTGCCTTTGTCAGATGCCCCCCGCTTTCTGCTACTGGCTGCAAACCAGTTATTGCACCAGGTTAATGTTTGTTCATTTTACTGCGGATGGGGGAGATGATTGCCCAGGCTACGTGTGTTCGTTCAGGCTTTAAAATAGTCTTCTGCAAGGTCTGTGAGACATCTAAGAGGAAGGATGAAGCAGAGACCTTTACTGAGGACTGGAACAAGCCAGTACCAGGACTCAGCTGAGTGATTCTGGAGTGGCAAAGCCTTGGCTTTGGGAGTCGCTCGCCTTCCGGCTTGAGAAACGCGCAGCGGTCCCCACAGGACTGGTTTGGGAGGAACCAGTGAGGTCGGTGGTGTCGTAGGGTAGAACATCACTGAGAACTGGACGAGCCATTTTTCTGAAATGGCAGCACAGACACCACACTGGAATGCCAACCTGTCGTCAAAGTCAGGTTCCCAGAAGATTGTATTTAATTAGGAGACAGAGTAAGGTACCATATGTATTTACAGTACTGTGAAAGAGGACAGTAGGAACAGTTTTGCAGTTGTGCTGCTTTGAACTGGCTTTTTATTGTTTGCAGAAACTGTTTGATAAAAGGAGTGTCAGTAATTAATCACAGGAAAGCTCTTTTTTAAAAAAAAAAAAGTTTTATGCATTTTTCTTATTCACTGGTTTGAAGAAGGATCTTTGTGCAATGGTGTTCCATTTAACATTGCAGAAGTCACTGTGAATGTGGATTCTATATAATAAAAGTTGGGGGCTGAATTAAATATAGAGTCATGGGTAGAAAGTTGAAATATCCCGTTGTTTTCCAAGATAGTGAGGAAAAAGGGGAAATACGATGTTCTTCTGTGTTAAACATGAATCCGTCAGACAAGTCCTTTTCCCCCCTTTTTATATAAAGATTCTACGCTCCAACATGGTATAACTTTGTAAATTTAATGTTTGCAGTGTGCATAATTGTTTCTGTCATGCCCTGGCTATTTCAGCTCTTGGAATTGGTAATTTCTGTAGCTGCATGGGTGTGCATCCATACAAAACCTTGGCTTGCAGCACGCAGCGTGCCTGTGGGTTTAGCTCACAGTAATGCATCATCCTGAAACAAATGAGAACTCATCTTGATAGCAGTAAATGTGCCTTGAAAGGCGACTGCTTTTGCGTTACAAACGTTCTCAGCATTAACAAATCTGAGAAATTGTGCAATTCTGCTTTCAAATTGAGATTTGCTTTTTTGCTGTTTTCATTAACATTCAACTTCTGACCTCTGCTTAAAAGTGAACGCACTATTTATTTGCTTTTATTTCTGAGACTTTTTTTTTTTTATTCCCATAGGAGCCTGCTGTCCACTATGTGCTGGAATGCTGAGAATCTTGTATGACAAAGACAAGCTGGATACTTTTGCAAGGGTAAACAATTTAATCATGCCTTATGTGAAATGGTACATGGAAAGGCCAAGTTACTGTGTACTCTCTCCTGAAAAGTTAACACGCTATAAACCCAATTATTTTCCAGTAGATAGTTTGAGATTTGATTTCTTTTTTCTTTGTACTGTTTATACTTCCCTTTATTTCTTCGTATCAGGTGTAGAAATTGAATTACAATGCAAAGCAAAACAGAATTGGAGTAGGCACAAAGGAGCACGTTGAGGTTTGCTGTTTAAATGACTTGTAAAGACAAATGAAAAAGAGACAGAAAAATGTAGCCTGAACTGGACCCCTGGAGGGGTCTAGTCCAACCCTCTGCTCAAAGCAAGGTTAATGCTGGTTAGATCAGCTTGGCCAGCTGAGCTTTTCAAACCTCCAGGAGTGGAGATTCCACAAGCCGAATGCTGCTGGGCTCTCCCCAGTTTGTCCGTGTGGCCTGGGCAGGAGGCAGGGGGTGTAGATAAAAGGAGACAGTGCCTGCTGCTGGCTCTGGTTTTGCTGAGGCAGCCCAGCGTGTGGTCGGCCTTCATCCCAAGGGTGTGCTGCTGACTGCTGGTCTGCTGCTTTCCTCGGAGGTTGTGTGTGCTCTGTGTGTCTGCCTGGACCAATTTTGCTGAGAAACAGTGTCCGTTAGGTCCTGACTGCAGCTTGGAATGTCTTCCAGTTGTCGTCTCTGATGGTACCAGGGACACAGTGACCACTGCAGCTTCTCAGTTCACACATGGCTGTGACAAAGAATTTTTAGGTTTAGTGAGAAGGCAGCTTTCTAGTTAAAGAAATTTATTGGACTGACTTGAGTAGTTATTCAAGCAGTAAGTGAGAGGAGAGTAAAGTTACCACCATCTAAGTACCCCGATACCTGGATTAGGGTACATAGTAGTTGATTTTTTTCCTTCTCCCCCCCTCCCCCCTTTTTTGCTCCCTTGTCACCACATTTTAGCTGACTTTCTCTTCTCTTGCTCACCCAACACAATACACAGTCTTCAAGTTTTCAGAACTCATACGTATAAATATATATATGGTCTTTACATTTGAAATACGTGATCTCTCAAACATTCAAGTCAGCGTGCTCTGAGCACGTACTAGAAATTACAGAAGTTTGACTGAAGCTCTCTTCTTTGGAAACTTCAATCAAGGGTCATCTGGTAAGCACCCAGAAACGATCTCTAAACTGGTCACAGCCACCTGGAGTCTGTGCCTGAGTGACACTGCCCTGAGCAGAGAGACGTAGCAGCTCTGTGCCTTTGTTCCTCCACTGTGAGACATCCAGCTAGTATCTCCTAGTAGTACAACAGAAGCTGCCCAACTGTGTAGTTGAATAGATTTGATACTTTTGTCATCTACATGAAATTAACATTAATACCATTGATCTCCTCTGACTGCATCAATAAAACTATAGGATGGGGGCGCAGCTCTTTCTTTTGACAATGTATGGATACATATAGTGTGTATACATCCATTGTACGGGAGATGGTTGTCTCAGATAGGTGGAATCGTTGCTGGAAGTGCTGGCACACACTTCAACCAACCCAAGAGGGCAACAAGTATAGAATCACAGAACGGTCTGGGTTGGAAGGGACCTCAAAGATCATCCAGTTCCAACCCCCCTGCCATGGGCAGGGACACCCTCCACTACACCAGGTTGCCCAAAGCCTCATCCAACCTGGCCTTGAACACTTCCAGGAATGGGGCAGCCACAGCTTCTCTGGGCAACCTGTTCCAGTGCCTCACCACCCTCTGAGTGAAAAATTTCTTCCTTGGGTCTAATCGAAATCTCCCTTCTTCCAGTTTAAATCCATTGCCCCTTGTCCTGTCACTACACGCCCTTGTCCAAAGCCCCTCTTCAGCTTTCCTGTAGCCCCTTTAAGTACTGTAAGGCTGCTGGAAGGTCTCCCCAGAGCCTTCTCTTCTCCAGGCTGAACAGCCCCAACTCTCTCAGCCTGTCTCCATAGCAGAGGTGCTCCAGCCCTTGGATCATCTTCGTGGCCTCCTCTGGACCCACTCCAGCAGCTCCATGTCCTTCTTGTGCTGGGGACTCCAGAGCTGAATGCAGTATTCCAGGTGGAGTCGCAGGAGAGCAGAGCAGAGGGACAGAACCCCCTCCCTCGACCTGCTGCCCACGCTGCTTTGGATGCAGCCCAGGACACGGTTGGCTTTCTGGGCTGCCAGTGCACGGTGCCAGCTCATGGTGAGCTTCTCATCCACCAGCACCCCCAGTAGCAGTAGCAATGATGCCTATCTTAGTTCAGACAGGTGGTTCAGATGAGAAAAAAGGGCTTCAATTACTGAAAAGTTCTATAAATCTGTGTTTCTTTTTTTTTTCCCTCCCCCTACCCCTCCGGCCTTTTTTGTAAAGATAGCAGGAATCAAAAGTCAGCATCTACACAGAGCAAAGAAAAATCTAAAATTCTAATCTAATCTACTGGATTTCTAATCTAAGATACTAAAATCCAAGTTTGACACGATCAGTCATTCTCAAAGTATCCATCTGCTTCTGTTTTAAGACTGTTTGAACAGGGTTTGCTGATCAGTGAGATGCCAGCCTACATTTTAATGGGGCTATGAGAAGGAAATCCCTCAAAGATCTGGTAAAAGAAGTGTTGTGTGACACGTAGCACGTTTGATTTGTGTAGTCTGCTCGGATTTTCCAGATTTCCATTTGCCAAGGGCCTGTACCAGTGGGCTGAAAAGAAACAAAGCTACAGCAGGATAAGAAGGATGGATCTCTTGCAGCTAAAGCTAGAAAACAGAACACAACAGAATGACCAGAAGTCACAAGTGAAGTGTTTGTGTTGGTGTCTATACTGTTCAACACAACCAGAAGTGACCTGGAAAATCAGTGAAAAACTTTTTTAAGGTGTGGGTGTCCTTCAACTGAGCACCTTAGAGCATCTACAATCCAATTACTGTCAGATACAAACAGCAGAACAGAGAGAAGGACTTTAAGAGAAGAAAAAAAAAAATCTATTTACCTGGTAGTCACGTAGTGATCTTGAAAGGTCATCTGTTGCCATGCCATGCATAGCCAGACGTGTGCCATCACGCAGCCACAGCTCGTCGTTTCTGGTGGCTCTGGGAGCAGGTTCTGGTGATGGGGTGCCCGCTGGTGGGGCTGCTCTGCCTCTGGTTCCCCAGCAGGGGAGCACACGTGCTGCGACAGATAAACATCTCCATTGTGTACCTGATACATACACACACTGCATACCAAAACCATGGTTAATTTAAGAAGGAAAACATTTTTTTTCCCCTTCTTCCTTTCACTTTTTAATTTTTATTTTTTTTTGGAGGTGGTTGTGTGTTTGTTTTTTTTTTTCCTAGAGATTAGAGTAGTTTAATGGCTGAAACGAATTTTCTGGCATGACATAAAGTAATTAAAACTGAAGGGGAGAAATGTAATTTTGCAGAATATCACGTCACCCACCAAGTTCTTTGTTTCCTTGCAGGTGACAAATAAAAAGCCTATAACGGTACTCGACATACTGGAAAAAATCCGCCTGCATGTCTCGGTGCCGCAGTGCGACGTGTTTGGATACCTAAGCATAGAATCCGAAATTGTGATTCTCATCATTCCTGTGGATCAGAACCCCAAACCACTGCAGGTAGACTATGGTATTGGTTTGGTTCCCCAGCATGGGTTTACTTCATTTTTACAGGTGCATTTTCCTGCGTACTGAGCGCACGGGGATTCCTCTAGTGACTCGGGTCTGAAGAGCTGGAATTATGGATAGTAAAAATGTGTCCTCAGAATCCTGCTTCTCTGATACAAGGCTTTTGGGTGCGGGTGATGATGGGGGAGGGGGGGAGGAGAGCAGTATGATTTTTTTGTTTTAAAATGAATACGTGCACAACCCTCAACTTTCTATGGCTAAAATAACAGAAGCTATAAACTGATGAAAAGAAAAAAAAAAATTACTGAATGACCTCTTAATACTAATTGTCTGTTAAATGCACACCTGCATATGAAATGGTCCTCCTTTATCCCCAGTGTGATAGTTAAAAGTAGACTGAAGCACACGTTACGATAAAAAGTGCTGGGAGATATTGTCTTGGAGCTGTTGCTTCGTTTTTCCTTTCTGCTCGTTAACCTGTGCAAGACCAGTGAGGAGATCTTCTTCCTGTTCCAAGGAACACAATTCCCTGCCATTTTATAGTTGTTTCTAACAGTCCTGCCCAGCCCTGCTGACAGCACTTGGTTATCTTATATTGATGGCTGCTTCCCATTTCCATTTTATCTCCACAGTCTAATTTTGCGTTCCCAGTACTGCTTCTGGGATGGGCTAGACTTCCAGTATAGCGTGAGGGGACAGAACCACTGCCATAAACTTTGCAAGCTGCAGCATCTAATAGGGCAGCTGCTTCTCAGGCAGATTTATTTAGAAATTAGAACAAAAATTATTCTAAATAAATCTTGAGAATCTGAGACCATCCTGGTTTTGCTGTTCCTTTCCACCTTACGATGAAAAGCGCTGGGAGATCCCAAAATGCTATTACGACCTTAAAAAGGAAATAAAATTCTAATAAGCTGCCCAGCTTGAAATTAGAATTAGAATGTGTCTAATTAGAAATTAGAATTAGAATTTTACGAGGTCATTCAGTAATTTTTTTCTTTTTATCAGTTTATAGCTTCTGTTATTTTAGCCAGGGGTTTCCTGGGTTGCAGTAGAAGGTAAGGTGGAAAAAATGGGGTTTCTACCATAAATGCCTAATTATCATCACGTCAGTGGGGAATGGAAACCTGGGTTTTCTCAGGTTTTCCTATTATTTCCGTTCTTCCCTTCCCATAAAAGCCATCTGTTTTCCCTGATTTGGAAGAAAAAGCTCAATAAGGAGAAAAATCCTCATTTTTCTTCCACTGTTGCAGACTTCAAGGCAGTATCTTGGTCAATCAGGAATTCAGTCCTCACATTTACAGCTACTTACTTCAGTTATAATTTACTGTGAGCTTTTTGGCATCGACGTTCAACACACATCGCCCACGATAACCTGTATGCAGCTTCCTTCCTTCCTTCCTTCCTTCCTTCCTTCCTTCCTTCCTTCCCTTTTCCTGCTACTCAGGCTGCCACAGTAGTTTTCGCAGTACCGAAGTCCACGACAAGAGTTCCAGCATGTTTTCTAAGAAATACTCCCCAAAATTATATAAATCTGACGTGCTGATGGGAATAACTCAGACTTTCTTTCTTGAATTTTACCATCTAGCAACACTTTTGCCATATTCTACGGTAAGAAAATAAATAACAACTTTTTTTTTCCCTTAGATTGAAGCCTGCAATAAAGAAGCAGAAAAGATAGAGTCGCTGATAAATTCAGACAGTCCCACATTGGCGTCACACGTCCCGCTGTCAGCATTAATTGCATCTCAAGTCCAAGTTTCCTTCAGCATTTCTTCTCCTTCAGTTCAGGTGGTGCCTGTTCTGCACTCCCTGTCCATCAGCCTTTTCCTCACCTTGTCAGGATTAACATATCCCGTGTAACTGCTTGGAAAATACGCACGAGTGGTGCGGTGGTTTGTATCGTGAAGGACGTTCGGAACGTTGATCACTGAACCAGAAGACAAAAATTGTAGAAGATTTGATGAACTAATGTAAAGCATTTGGAGTAACGTGCAAAGATTATTCTGTTTGTCATTACTAGTCAGATGACTCCTTCAGCACAATTAGATGGTTTTCCATTGATCTTGGAAACACAAAAATACTCTGGAAGGTTTTGAATTATGGATTTCTGATTTTCGCGGGACGGGATCTCGCAGGGTTTTTTCAGCCACGTTTCGAGTTTCTTGGAGAACGTTCATTTGATCTTCTTCAGCTGCAAAGCAGTGACAACAAAAAGCACGCACCTACTTTAAACAGCATTTTTGGAAGAGACAACTTGCTGCTACTTAATTACCTTACCAAAAATTTTAGAGTTTATTCTCCTGTAAATACGCTTTCATATTTTATGAAGAAGAAAACCAGCTAGCCCTGGGCCTGCTTCAGTAGCCATCTTTACTTGGACTAGTGAAGATTTGCAGGGCACGGGGCTCACTGCTTGTGCAACGACAATCACGCTCCGCACGAGTACCGGACTCCAGTGACGAAGGACGTTCTTTTGATCCTTTTGTACATTTCAGAATCTCACCTTGGATGCAAAATTATAAAGAATCTCAGTATCTATATTTAAGTGCCATTTAAAATATTGCAGTATTTGCATGTTATCTAAGGAAATTTATACTTTAAATGTTTATATGAACAGTATGTTTTGTTACTTATTGTATTTTATGCACCTGACCTTAGCCTACATGAAGTATTTCGTATCAGTATTACGACAGCCAACTTTTGAAGTATATACAGAAAAACTTATTTTTGCCAAAAGGCTGAACTTGGAAAGAAAGCACTGAAAACTTTTTGAACGCGTATGTTGTTGTAGCATGTCTGTAGCAATTATTTTCTGCTAAATCTTTTAAATGCAAAAGTATTAAAGCTTTATATTTTAATAAAACACTTGGTCATGTGTCACGTCATACACACACACATGTATATATGCCACACTGGAAAAATAAGAGCTGAAAACCATACCTTTTGTGGAACAGAATCTGTAGTGCTATTTACAGCTGTGAAGATTTTCTTCAACGAAAGATAATATCAAAAAAAGTTTCCTTGGTTTGTTTGACGAATCTGGAAAAAGCAGAATTTCACCTCAGAGACTTTTTTCATACATGTGTGAGTGTCCAGAACGTGCTGGAAAAGAGTGAAGATTTTGAGTGGTTCTGTTAAACACGTACAGAACCAAGGAGTTTTTGTATAATCCTAAATTCCTGAGCGGAAGCGGACGGGGTTTAGGGTCTTTTAGGTGGATGCACAAAAGTATTTAAGAATTTGCTACGTTTTCTCAAGCCCTCAGACTGCCTCAGCGGAACAAAGGATTTACCTTTGTTTAAAAGTGTCATATGACAGTGTCACTGTCATAAAAGTGTTTATGACACTTTTCTTTTGCACATAACCGTGTATTTCAAAACTTTTTCCCACCACCCCTATTTCTAGGAAGCCCTGGGAGCATTTACATGAGCCAAAATAAATAACATTGAGTGTTTAATAAATTGTGCCCTAAACGTTTCATGTTTGAAGTCTGGACTGTAAGACGACCCTCTCCTCAAACGAATCCCAAAACAAACAAAAGCAGCACTGGGGGAAAAAAGATTTATCTGCTGTGGGTTTCCTAGACTTGACTGCACCCTTAATTGAACTGGTGCTTTCATAGCGTAGAGAAGTCACTGAGTCCCTCAGCCTTCCCCATATCCTGGGTAACTACATCTCCTGTCCTCCTTTTACCACTGACATATCTATAGAAGCTTTTTTTTTTGTTGCCCTTGATGTCCCTGGCCAGATTTAACTCCATCAGGGCTTTAGCTTTCCTAACCTGATCTCTGGTTGCTCGGACAATCGCTCTGTATTCTTCCCAGGCTACCTGTCCTGTTTCCACCCTCTGTAGGCCTTCTTTTTGTGTCTGAGTTGGTGCAGGAGCTCCTTGTTCATCCATGCAGGCCTCCTGGCCTTTTTGCCTGAATTCCTCTTTGTTGGGATGCACTGCTTTTGAGCTTGGAGGAGGTGATCCTTGAATATTAACCAGCTTTCTTGGGCCCCTCTTCCCTCCAGAGTTTTCTCTCATGGGGCTCTACCAAGGAGATCCCTGAAGAGGCTGAAGTCTGATCTCCTGAAATCC